GAATCTCTGTCCTTGTCTTACACATTACAGGTATAGGAATAAGCTTAGGAAATTCTCGGCCGCTAGATGACGCCACCAAACGTCATTCTTACCGACGCAGTAAACTCACTGGATAATCGCTAATTAGTTATTAATTACTATTCGAATGTTGGTCACAATCTTACTGCATGTTCTGGGCAGTTTACTCTAAATGCTACAATCATAAATGTTCACAATTTAAGCGTATTATGTGAAGATCTTCATCCTTTGCTGGGCCTCTGTAAAAAATTCTACTTTATCTTCTTACGTCTTGTCGGTAAATAATTAATAAATAATTAACGCGGTGCAAAGTTCCTTCAGTGGTGCATAAAAAAGTAGGGGAAGGTCCAGTCTACAATCTCACATTGCAAAGGTTAACAATTCATTCTTAATAGCTTAATTGATAATATATTCGCCGCTGATTTCATATATTTCTTCTCTATCGACATGATGCCTTTAGTTCTTAACTGTTACCGCTAGATGGCGCAGTTTCGAATACCTCCTTTGCCCTGATGCTTCGCGCGTACGTACCAGGAATCGATGAGATGCTTTTTCAAGGAGGTGTCTCGTGAGAGTAATTCTTTGTCCTTGTCTTACACATTACAGGTATACTGAAAAGCTTCAAAAATTCCCTGCCGAACTGCAACCGTCTTTACACATGCATAATATGCCCTTGGCTTTGCATTAGCTGTTTTATGAGCTGTTGTAAACTCGGAATCTTGTCCGTTAACTTTGTACCTATAATGTTACTATGAAAAATGTTACTAAAAAAAAAGATGTAGCACTGGCCACTAGAGGGCTTGAATGACACATTTTTCCATGTACTGTTTCCTGCCTATACTGGTCTACCTTAAAGGTTTGTTTTTATACATTACACGATTGATAAGTAAAGGGAAACAAGTCGAAGAAACACGCAGCGGTATCAAGAGTTGAAGTGATTTTAGTAAATGCCACATCTTTAAGGATACATGGAATATTATATGTTACAATTACCGAACATTTCTCCCGCTGTGTCGATGAATTAAATATGGAAAGCAACGCAAACAACCAAAAATTGGTGCACGCAGCAAAAGATGACAAATTGACGGAAACTCATTCGAGCGATGAAAATGTAAAGAAACAACCGCAAGACGAAGAAAATTCTAGTCACATCTTCTGTGATCCATTGAAAATCCCAGATAGCAATACCACTGATTCCATATTTAAGAAACCTATCACGACAACTGATCCTCAGCGTTCAAAATGTCAAGATAAACATCTTAAATCATCCACACCTTGTACCGATGAAAAGGATCTGCCCTTTCCTTACGTGGAACCATCGTGGGGAGGAAAGCCAGAGAAAAATTACAAACTAGAGGTATTGAAATCTGGAGTCATCGTAGAGACAATTTCGCTTGAGGAACAAAGTTTTCATGTTGTCGGGCGCTTACCATTATGCCACATATCTTTGGCGCATCCAACTGTTTCTAGATATCATGCGGTTCTACAGTACAGAAAGAAAGATGACAATGAAAATTCCAAAGGTCTTTACATTTACGATCTTGGCAGTACTCATGGTACTTTTTGGAATGGAAATCGCATAAAATCTAATGTTTACGTAAGAGTAAGAGGAGGCCATATGCTTAGATTTGGATGTAGCCAAAGAAAATTCATTTTGCAAGCCATTTTGGACGACGTAGAAGAAGAATCTTTGTATACGGTATCGGAACTGAAGGTATATTAAATTTTGTTAAATAAAGACCATAGCATTTACTGCTCGATAATATTTCTAACCGATAAGAATATTTTAGGAGATGAGAATGTTAGAATTGGAAAAATCACGGTCCCATGAAAATCTGAGCATGTCTAAAGAAGATAACGAGAACGATGGTATCGATTGGGGTATGGGTGAGGATGCCAACGAAGAAACGGATGTACAAGAAAATCCTTATGCTTCTATCGGCGACGATGATTTAGTTTTGGATGATCCTAAGAAAACATTAAGAGGATGGTACGAGAGAGAAGGTTACGATTTACAATATAAAACTGAGGATAAAGGACCCGGTAGATTCCTCTGTTGGGTAGAGTAAGTAGCCTTATTTCGGTGAAATAATGTCCAAACCATGAAAACTACCTAAGCTACAGTTGCACGTATTTAATGTTTTTCCCGTTTGCCTTTATACATGTATATATATATATAAATCGTAGTCTACCCATAGAAGACATTGTTGGTCGATCTTTGAAAGTGGAGGCTCTCGTCAAAGGGAAAAAGAAAGAAGCTGTTGTACAATGCGCCCTCGAAGCCTGTAAAATTTTGGATAAATATGGATTATTGAGACAATCGCATCACGGTAGGTACGAAATTTATAATTTTCTTTTCCAGTTTATTTTCTTAACATTTCTCGTTGTCTTTCCTTGCAGAAGCTAGGAAGAGAAAAACAAGAAATTGGGAAGCCGAAGACTACTATGATTCGGACGAGGACAACTTTTTGGATCGAACAGGATCCATAGAAAGGAAACGTGAACAAAGAATGCGTCTGGCTGGTAAATTAGAAGAAAAGGTGGAAACATATGATTCCTTGGTAAGCAAGTGATTGAATAGCTATATATATATATTTTGTTTTCACGCTATACACTGCTCGTATTGTTTCTTTTCATTTCAGCTGGAGAGGCATACAAAAGTTGTAAAGCGCATCTCGTATTTAACGGACTCGATTAAAAATTGGCAACATGAAAATAATACTAGAAAGGAAACACCGGAAGAAGACGCGTTGGATGCTTTTATGTCGAGTTTGAATTCGTCGACGTTGTCCAGAAACGACATTGCCAAAATGAAATTAGAATTACAGTCTCTTCGCAAAGAAGAAGCGGATGTAATTAAATTATTAAATCTGACACGACCGGCAAATTTACCGGCTCTTATTCAACAAGATGTAACAACGACGACGACGACGACGACGACGACGACGACAACAACAACAATGATAGATCCAGTGTCTAATCGCGTTAAAACAAATTTACAAGAGATGTCGAAAGCGAGTAAAATCCAACGTTCCGTACTTGAGCGTAGAAAGGTAAATTTATTGGTTTTTCTATGTCTTATTTACGTTCGTAATGTTAATTTGTTATTCGCGTTTAGCAAGAAAAACCAGACAGTACGTCGTCGAAGAAAAATAAGAATCGATTGGTGCCGCGGATGACGACCGAAAAAGAAATGGAAGCCGAATCCGAAGAAGAATCCGACAGCGAAGACGAGAAGAAGGACGAATCTGCTGCTGTTACCGTTACTGCCGCTACTACCATTGATACTCGTACTCCTGCCTCTGCTGCCAACACCGTCGATAACGATAACAGGATAGTTGGGGCTGTTGCTGGTGCTGCTGGTGCTGCTGCTGCTGCTGCTGCTGCTGCTGCTGCTGCTGCTGCTGCTGCTGCTGCTGCTACAGATTACGATGCTATTTCTACACTCGATAGAAATGAGTTTAAGGGAGAAAATAAGAAACGAAAAGGGGAAGGAATAGGGGCAATGAAAAGAGATGGGCAAATGCGTAAAAAAGTTGTATCTTGCGATCAAGATGTTTATGCCGAAAATTACTCCATGTGGACTCCTCCGCAAGGACAAAAGGGAGATGGAAAGACGAGTCTTAACGAAAAGTATGGGTATTGAAATAAACACATTTTACGACGTAATACGATCGTAACGTGTTTTCGATCATTTCGATGTACGATACTGTACTGTACTGTAAATATATTAAATTCTTTTTTGTATTAGTTTATCGTTAACTGTATTTTATTAGCGTGCTTCACGATTCCGTGTTGCGCAACAAAGAATTTTTAAAAGATTTCAAGCATGAAGCGAACGAAAACAATTGAAATTCGTTGAATCGTTAATTTATTAATGGATCTGCTCTTTTCTGTATTTCCATGGACTGTTATTTATACAGTGTACAAATGTTACACTAAATTGATGGAAAAATTGGAAAACTGAAATATAACAAATATGCCATGGTTTTTCCTTGATCACGGATGGGACACACAAGCTTAGGCGCACGCGCGAAAACCAATGTCGAGGACAACAGCATTCTTGCTTACTTACTGTCAAGTAGGTACTCGAGTAGTATATCCGAAATGATAGTGGTGGCGCTATCGTCGCTAGAGTACCAGGGTAGGGAAGAAGTCGAAGGCTCATTGGTCGACTCTCGTAACGTGTCGCATCTGTTTTTGTAGTTGCTTGCTTGGCATAATCCGTGTTAATTTGTACAGATGCACTAACTGCGTACGCGTACATTTGATTAGCATCTGCGTCTTGTAGCTGTGCTTCCAGAAATTCGTATATACCGAGAGTCGTGTAAAAAAAGAACAGACAAGGAGGAAATCTGTTTGGGTAGAAAGAATATAATATCGTTGGTGAGAAGAAGTATCTTGGAATTCTCAGATCGCATATTTGTGCTTGCAGTGAGCAGGTGAAAGAATTATTCTTGCATTTAACAGTGATAATAATCGTTGATTAGGCTTCGTTGAAAATTTGAAGTTTTCAAAACAACGTTGTTAAACGGATGCTCGAATATCGATAATCGATAAGATAATCCTGACATAAGAAATAACGGTGATCGAATCGATTCGTTTGATCGCCTGTGAATTTCCATTGATCGGCAACTCCACACCTCGAAAAGGAGGAAAGTTCGGTGCACGCGATTGGTAGAAAACTGTAATTTTAACCTTTCACGTTTCCGGAACAAGGGGAAATCGGATTTATAAATCTGGTTCGAACGTCGAGACTAATAAAAAAAGAGAAACCAGGCAGCCGTACAGACGGACAGACAGCAGCGAGTGAGATTGACACGACTGTTGAATCCTTTGCGCTGCTCAGTTTGAGAAGGGTACTCTGCAAGAGAGCAGAGAAGTCGGTGCTATATAATATTCCGCTACCGAGCAACATAGCAAGCGTAAAGATGGGCTTGGGAAACAAGGTATGTCAAGTTGTACAGTTCATAATGATTCATCCTTATTTTTCCGTCGAATTAAGATAATGTTTTATTCAACGCTTATCTCGTTCCCTTGCCATGTGTCATTTAGCTTTTGTGTCACGACTTCGCGCGAGAGGATATAATACGTTTATACGTGCAAGCGTGCAAACGTACAAACGTGCAAACATGTTACGTAGTTTAGCGAAATGTCGGTAAAATACCTGTTAAAACGGAGGAAAATATTTGAAACTACGCAGACCTGAAATCCCCCAATCAGATATAGCCACGACACCTCGAACGATTTTGAGTTGGTAACTAATCGATTCTCGATTCTAATCTGTAAGTTGGTCGAGAAAGCAATTGATACTGTTCAGTTTAATTGTAAATTCGAAATCTAATCCAGCATAGCTCGGAAAAGCATTAACGCGTGTACAAGTTGTATATGCGTGATCAGAAATGTTGAATATTCGAATATAGAGATTTCGAAGAATAGTCCACGTTTGCGAGAGATACTTTTCGATCGGGAACAATTGAACGGAAGTAAAATTGAATTTTTCGTTTAAATAGAAAGAGCGGAAGAGCGAGTTGTATAAAGAGAAGAAGCAACAGCAGTTACTCTGTCGGTTATCTGTTTCTCAGCAGAGTGAGTCTGGTGTATGATTCTGTTGTAACGACAATGATAACGACGCATGATGATTGTTGGCTCTATTTACCTATTATGAAAGTATAATAGGTAAATTTCGTTCGGGGAATGATTGTGCATCCATTAAGGACAGTAGCTGTGCGTTTTGTCGCTACACCTTAATGCGAGATGTAAAAGCTCGTGCACTGTTCGTAGAAAATGCCATACTGTTCCGCGTAAGGAGCTAAAGACGAACAGCACCGAGTAAAAACGTATCGCCGCGGCAGTTGTGGGGCGTTATGTTCGCTAAACGATAAGTACCCTTATCTTGGAACTTGGGCTCTCATCGGAATCTCTGAATTTATCGCGCATTCCCTATCTCGCAATAGTAAAAGAATGGATGAAAGTTGAAAAGAGAGAACCGCGTGTAGACTGTTTTCTTCCGTAGCGTATGACCGACACGAACTCGAATGGAAGGCGTTCGTTAGCGAGATATTCGAAAATGTCGATTGTCGTGAGAATTGTCGCGGTTGTTTCCACGCGGACGGATCTATTCGTTACACGTTACACGTTACACGGTACACGTTGGTATAGGACAATTCTATTCTAATGGTAGAAAATGATTCGCATTTCGAATAAGATTGAAAATATAGCGCTCTTATGCGGGGAAAGGTTTTACAATGTTTGTCAGGAGGCAAAGCGGGGCGTAGCGCGACGTCGCGAAACGAAACGAAACGAAACGAAATGAAACGAGACGAGGCCAGCGATGCAACAGCGACCGTGACACAACGCGTATCGCGTACCGCGTAAACGCGAAGCGGGAAAGTTGGCAAAGTTGAAATCGATGGATACGCATCGCTTATCGCTGAAACGAGACCAACTCGAACCGAATCGGAAACTTGTCGCGAATCGTGGGATAAATGAATTTCCGAGTGTATATTTTTCATGTTTCACGGGTATGTAGAGGGCGAAAGAAATTTAGATTACGAATGGAGAAATTGAGTTGAAGAAATCGAGAGGAGCGCCGGTCTTCCGAGAGGACGATATCGAGCATGGATTTACACGAGGAAGCGTTGAGAAACCGATCGCGAACGATCATAATGCACCGAACGAAATATCGATCGTTACTTTCGCGCAAGTCTCTCGGGGGAGTAAGAAAACGAGCCAACGAGGCGGCGCTTCTCGCTCTGGGTGCGTTCGATGTGCGTCGCGAATACAAGCGTTTAGGTCGGTCTACGTTCCGTAGGAGATATTCGTGTTTTCGTCTTGTTTCGAATAGTCGATACGAAATGCGATGCGCGTCATCGTAGTCCACGTTGAAAGGTAATCCGCCCACGCGGAACGGGAGAAACAGACAGCGTTAGGATAATGGATAAAGGCGAAAGATAGAAACGCTTCGTTGCAGCTGTATATTTTACGGTTGTGTTCGACACTCCTCGCATCTGCGGTCAACGAAACCACGTCGGATGTAACGTTCGTCGATCAACGTTTGTTCGTATAACTTTCTACCATAAAGCTGTTGTATGCGCTTCGCGGCAGGAACAAGGGGTGCAACTGCATTTGACCCCGGCGTCGGAAGGTGTTCGATTCGAACGAGGGCAGCAACTGTCGAGTTCTCTGGAATTATCGAATATCGTAAACTGTTTGTTATTTTGATTCTGTTGGTTGGTAAGAGAACGTTGGCATGCCATAGAAATAATATCATCTATTTGTGCGAGTACGACTGGGAACAAACCAAACAACTTATTCGTAGGAAGGATCGATGATAATTTCTAGATTGATTTGTTCCTAGTTCGAGATTGCGTTTGTATTAGAGTTTCGATGAATTTCGCTGAAATCCAGAATCTGTTTGATTTCGTATCGAGAATGAAATTCGCGACGTCTTGTCGACCGACGATACTCTCTAGTAACATTGGTTTACGTTCTGTACGTTAGATGTCTGAAGAGAATCCGGAGATGCGGGAAATGGCAGCGCGTATATGTCGCGATTATCTCCACGGAGTTTGGAAACACGTTACCGCGGAGAACATTGCACTGAAACGTATCAGGTGAGTAGAAGAGTCGGTGTAACGAGACGACGGCGACCTCGCTCGCGTAAAAATATTTCGAGCACGTGGCGAGAACGCGACGAGAACGCGACGAGAACGCGGCGAGGACGCGCGACGCGCGCAAACACGAGTACTTATGTAACCGAATTTGATTTTACAGTGGTGGCCTGAGCAATTGGCTGTACAGCGTTCAGCTGCCGAACGGAGCCGTTCCGATTCGCGGAGAGCCGCGACAAGTCCTGCTACGACTGTACGGACAAGTACACGGGGAGAGAGCGTTGGAGGGGCTGATCACGGAATCGGTGATTTTCACGTTGTTGTCGGAAAGGCGGCTCGGCCCGAAATTACATGGCATATTCCCCGGCGGTCGTATCGAGGAGTACATACCCGCTAGACCGTTGCTCACCAAGGAATTGGCAGACCCAACGTTGAGTTCCATGATAGGCGAGAAAATGGGCCAGATTCATATGATGCAAGTTCCCATAAGCAAAGAGCCAACCTGGCTTTGGGATACTATGGCGAAATGGTTGGACACGACATCCGATATTCTCGAGAACCTTGAAGATATAGACGTCCGACACGCAAAGAGCGTAAACGCGATACGCTCGATTGATCTAGATCACGAGATTAAATGGTTCAGGTGAGAGAAAGAATGCGCGCAATCGAGTCTTGGAATCTCGATCGTATAGGACTGTAAACGGGGTGAACGTTAATGTTGAAGTAGCGTTCGCGCAGAGTACGTAATCCGATAACAGGCTGATAACAGTCTCTACATTTCCAGATCTCTGGCATCGCGGCAAAAGTATCCGGTCGTTTTCTGTCACAACGACATGCAGGAAGGTAACATACTCTTGAGACAAAACACGCGAAAACCGGAACTGGTTCTTATCGACTTTGAATACTGTTCTTACAACTACCGCGGATTCGATATAGCGAATCACTTCATCGAATGGCAATACGATTACACGGCGGCGGAATACCCCTTCTTCCACGAACGCACAGGATCCGGACCTACGAAAGAACAAAAGGTATGTGTCGGAGACGTGCGACTCCGATTCCCAAAACATTACTAAACATTCGAATGGACGGGTAAGACGCGTTCCGTTTTACTATCCTCCGATATGTGTACGCGTGTGTCCATGCATACGGACGCGTGTATCCACACATCTATAAATGTGCATTGGATGAGTATGCGTGTACACATACATATACGTATCTCTGAGATTGTTTCGTCCTATAATTCTCTGTTCGATTCATTCGGTTTTTTCGAAAGAACTTGATTGTGCGTTTCGAACACGATCGAACGAAACGAATGTGCGATTTGTATCGCAACCATAAACGCTAACTCTAATGCTAATAATAACGATAACGGTAACGATAATGACAATGACAATGACAATGACAATGATAATGATGATGATAAAGATCAAGATAACGACAACGACAACGGTTACGATTACGATTACAAATCCTGTTCCGACCGTCGCGAAATTAACGAAATTAACGAAATTAACGAAATTTCAGTAACAAGATGTTTCGCCAAACAGACTAAAGGGACGGGCGTTTCGTTAAGAGTCGAACGAAATCCTTGACATCATTTCTCATTGACCAACACATTCGATTCGTGTGTTGAAAAATTAAACATCATCCGTCTTAAAAATGATTCCAGTGACACACACGGTATCGATGGAAAGGTATCCTGTGAAATACGTCACGGTGATCTTTTCCTTTTTAATCGAATGAATTCTTTTCAAGTGAATTTTATCCGTTTTGTGCGAGAGTTGGTGCAACGCGAGGACGAGAGACGTTTCTCTTGCAGGACACGTTGGTTCGGAAAGCGTGCAAAGATTCCTCTCTATGCTGTGGTAAATGCACGAGCTACTGTGACGAGTACAGTTTCACGAGTATGTGTCATTCGATTCCGTAACGTTCGGATAACGTGTAACGAACGAATATTGGTAAGAACATTGAAAATCTAATTTGGATCGCGATCGGATCGTTTCGCACTAGCAGAGAAATCTCTGAGCTGTTCGCCCCGATAGATCCGAAATGTCCTACAAGAGTCGCAACGCCCCGGTCCTTTCGACTTGCCTCCTTCTCGTGGTTATAGCGGGGCACGCTTCGATATACACGAATTGTTGCATACACGGGTACCCGTTGTTCGCACCTCCAAACCGTCCGTAAGTGATATACCGTTACTGCGCGAGACGTAGAATCATGAGAAATGCGCAAAGAGGAATACGCGTAACTGTACATACTCGGTCGAGCGAATTCGAGAGTCTTCGAGTGCTGATCGAGGACAGGTTGGCGTCTGCTGCGTGTGTATATATTAGTTTCACAGGACCACGATTCGGTGAGACAAGGCTGATGCCTGCGATCTGCTAATCGGAATATTGGGCGGCATATCGATCTGCCAGTGCGATGATGGATCCTGTTTCGCACCTGTCTCGCACCTGTCTCGTACGTTGTGGAACCAGAACGACCGGTGCCACCACCACCCACCTTTGCAACATCAGTCCCGTACCTGCGCATCTACGACTCTAGAGTACTTCTACACGCACTCTCGATAGTCGATCCATAAATGTACAGTGTGTCTTATGGGTGGTAAAACCGCGTTATTTCCAGTTAAGACACTTCATTCACCGCAATTAAATGTCCGCTTTCGAATCCGAATTAGAATGTCCCTACGAACGCGTATTTATTCCGATTAGAGAATTCAGACGATTTTTCGCTCCGCTAAATCTATGCGCTAATTACGCGCCATTTTCGCGGTTTTTCTATACATTCCCTCAAGTACATACTCGCATATACATACGTACATTTTCTTTGGACACGTTAGCTCTCTGCCCGCGAAACGCGTATTTTGGTATGAATTCTTGTTTCATGTCGAGTACCGTTTCGAGTATTCTTAGTAAACGTACATGTACACGTGCGTGCCAGCGACAACTCGCGACAACTCGAGCTGACGAGCGTTCACGAGCGTCCTCGCGCGCTCGTGTATCTCCATATGTATGTATTTGCATATGTACACGTACATGCGTACTCTTATGATACGTATACACCACTTGTCTTTTTACGTATCGTTCGGTCAATTATCTTCCGTTCAATGTCATTTCTTCGATTTAACGTTATCCTTTCTTCGACAGCTCAACTTCGTAAAAAGTTATTTAAAGACGGTTGGCAAAGAAGGGACATTGGAAGAGGAACGAATTATGACGGAGATCAAAATATTCTCTTTGGCGAGTCACTTGTTTTGGAGCTTATGGAGCATCGTCAACGCCAAACTCTCCGAAATTCCATTTGGATATTGGGTAGGCCGGTTTCTCGCCTTTGCCCTTCTTGTTCTTCGGCAAATCGATTCGACAATGTTTCGAACAATGTTCCGTCCGTTGCAGGATTACGCTGTATCTCGACTGAAAAACTACCAGTACTTGAAGGAAAAGATGCTGGTATCAGGCCCACCGACGATAGATACCGACGACACGGATACAAAGATAAATGCTATCGATTGAGAAGCCCGAATACCGACCGGTCCTCTGCGGTGTACCGTGAAGAATTTCACTCTTTCAACGTGACTACAAAGTTTGCCTGCTACACATTTTCATGTGCTCGTGATTATCTTGCCAGAATATCGCCATGTATCCTTCTTTTCTTCTAGAAAATTGTGATACATGTTTCATACTTTTGTTCAAGGAAGGAAAATAGAATGAAAGGAATGATGCCGGCGGAACGTTTAGGAGAATACAGAGAATAGAGAAAATAGAGGAATAAAGAGAGAATGGAGAGAAAAGAGGTAGAAGGGCGTTGGTTTACGCATTACAAATGTGATATAGGATAAGTGCATTGTCATTCTCAGTCTCATTCTTATTTTCATTCTCATTTCCATTCTCATTTTCATTCTCATTCTCATTTTCATTATCATTGTCATCATTTTCATTCACATTCTCATTTTCATTCTCTCATTTTCGTTCTCGTTCTCGTTCTCGTTTTCATTCTCATTCTTAATTCTGATTCCTCTTTTCGTGCATATTTTTATGTTTATTCATATTCGTAATATTCTTCACAAAAATACACGATGCGCGTGCACGCTCGGGCTCGCACAATCAGTCATGGCGGATGAGCCAGTGGAAGGGTACGAGAGACAGAGAGAGAGAGAGTGAGAGTGAGAGTGAGAGTGAGAGATTCAGAGAGTGAGACGTATATGCGCAAGTATATTTATACATATGTAGACATAAATGCATATATGTTTATATACACAACTAATTTGTACATAATTGTAACTTTATTGTACCTGGATTGGTTTCTTTTAAATAATTGCAATTACAATTGGAATAGAAATGTTCACGCTGAACGTAAATGGAGGGTGCTTAGATCGTGTAACGTATACGCATGTACTTAACTATAGTTACATTGCTCTTTTTGAAATCGGCTGAAGAATATTCGAGTAGCAAAAGTGCAGCAGAAATCATACTAACCTGATCGATACGAAGAGTTTAATGTCAGTTTCCGGTTAGTCGTATCGTTATCACAGCAAATGCTCCGGTCTCTCGGTCAAATACCGATCCAAGTTTTTCATTGCGTTTCAACGATACTTTTATATTTTTCTGTACATTCTTTTCACGGCTATCGCGCTCGTTTCTCAGGCCCTGAAAAGTTCAAAAATTTGATCAAACAGTGATATTTTAATAAACATTGAGGAATTCTTGTTCATACATGTTTCATCGATTATTTTTCTTTATTGTCCTCAGTTCAATTTTACGTAAAACTATTTGAATACAAGTCATTTGAATTGTAACGCCGACCTGCCGAAGGTACAGTGAATGCGATGCGATGCGATGCGATGCGATGCGATGTGATGCGATGCGAAGCGATGGGATTGAAAGACAATTTCGAATTTTCCTCATACTACTACAACTTGTACGTATGCGGATATGAAATTGGGTACGTTTCACATAAAATTGGTGAATCGAGGTGCACCCAAGTTAATTTCGTTTAACGTCTCGCTTTTAGCGGCGACTAGAAACGACGCTAGTTTCCCTTGTTCATCCTGTAGCAGTTTGCGGCGGACTTGTAGTATAGTTGTATTTTCCTTAAAGTTATTTGCTAGAGAACTGTTCCGTAATCTCAGTCTCAATCTCAATCGTCAATTCGCATCGCAAGTCTTCATTCTTTCTATATTATTTTTTACGAATGGTTGTTCGAGTATATCGATGCACAGAAGATATTGCATTTCTTTTTCAGTAGGTACGATCGAATCTTTCATGTTCTAATTTCCGTCCTGAATTGTAGCTGTTTTGTATAATGTTTGTCTTAATGTGATTCAAACACGTGGTACGTGTTGCTTTTCTTGACAGCGAAGAACGAGTTTCGAATTGGCGACATCAAGTGTTGTATTTACATTGACGTACTATGAGAAAAGGAATGACCGAGTGCGACAAGTTCGAATATCGAGAAATTTTGTTTGATGTGTCAGAGTGTAACGTATACGCAAATTCCTCGCGATATCTCTTTTAAATCGTTCGAAGGGTTTCATCCGCAATAAATAGCAACTGCAATTCTGTGAAAACGAGATGTATTCATTTTGTGCAACTGACAACGACTCGACTAAACCCAAGTTCTAAACCCAATTCTCTCTTGAATTGTTGTGGAGCGTGGAAATCGCTCGACGAGAAACCCTTACTGGACAAATGTCAAGAATGTCCACAGTATTTCCAAAGTATGGTTCTTGAGCGGGAAAACACTCCGAGTCCATAGTTTTCGAGTATACAGTGTACAATTTTGCGAAGTATCGACGTAAACGGTACTGCCTTTTTCCCGTTTATTCTACGACGATGCGTTTCGGTCGCTTCTGCAACACCGGTCGAGGGAAAAGATTTTACTATTTTCCTCCTTGTTTCCACTGTCGATTGGAATCGCAAGTTCAGCCGGGGCGGGATAATGATAGTATTCGGTATGGGTTCGCGTAAAGATTACACTCGGTTGGGCGTTTGCTAAATAAATGATTTATTTCCTTTTCACCCATAACGCTACTTGAAAAATCGTAGCTTTCCTAGAAACGCGCAGTGCCTTTAAGTGAATCCACGTGACGGGAAGTAAACCGATGAGAAACATGTAACGTTCACCTCTCGTTGGTATTCCCTTCTATCAAATACTTGGACGTTTCGCATCCGGCGGACATTTGCTTACGAGCAAATAGTAAAGCGACGATTGTACAAAATGTAACGTTTCCTTATGCACTAGCGTTAATTTTCATCGCTCTATATAGGAAATGCAGCATCTTACGAGTATCACGTGTCACAGAATGCATACGCAAGTGTAATTTTACCTACATGGTAAACTGATTTTATACATGTACCTACTCTCGTCTGTAACAGTTTCAACTTTGCTCGTCCATAAGATAGCGAAATGTGCACCGCGAATCCGTTGCTCGTCAATGAAAGTACACACCTGGAAGACCAAAAATCTGGGAAGGTTCCCCGTGGGAAAACCGATAACCGGTATTTGTTCGATCGACGCGATCCGTCTGTTGATTTTCTCGAACCGCGGAGTGATCGTTATTCGCGGCGAACGGTGCGGGGCGTTACACTATTATTTAGCAATACACGATAATCGGAGATCTTTACGAAAGAAAATCAGATATTCGACATCGATACTGTGAACAGATTCTGTGACGGAATCGCAGTGATTATCAGCGAGCGGGACTGCGATGGAAATTCATTCGTTGATAAAGAACGAAAAGACGCGTTAAGGGAACGAGAAGAACGGACACGAGAGTAAGAGCGAAAAGAAAGTTGTGGAGAAGTAGGAGGGGTGTGGGGGGAGGACGCAGAAGAATAAATCGCGGACGGGAGGAATCGGAGTAGAACCGTTGCGGGGCAAATTTCCGGTTGCGTTCCAAGGTCGATTATGCGAAAATGAAAAGGGAGCAAAGTGAATCAGCATAGTGAAAGAGAGAAAACATGGGGAGCCCAGCCGAGTAAATTTGCTTCGCGTTCTGTCGGTTAGTGTACTTTAACGAGGCCTCCAGTGCCGTAAGCAGCACCTGCAAGCAGAGCCTGCGTACCGTATAACGATCCTTGTCTCACTGCTAGTCCTCCGAGTCCGACGCCGAGACCTAGTAGCCCGGCGTTGGCTGCTACTAGATTCGTGGTGGCTACGGCTGGTTCTGCCGCCAACAACTGTACAAACAGCAACAAAGTTGATGAAACTGTTCTGTAATCTGCAGTAGATGTACGATACGTGACAACGAACCTGTGGGCGAACAGCGACGGCAGCGGCGGCAGCCGGCGCGGTTGCAGCTATTACGGATGCTGGTCGTGCGAGGACGGGTCGCAAGGCTGCTCCGATAGGTGCGACAGATGCGATTGGTGCAGCGGCAACCGCGGTTTTCACCGTAATACTGGGATCCTTCTGGACGACAGCATTAAATCCGTTGATAGGGTCGGCGGCATACGACACCACTCGACGCGAACCGTCCGGTTCGATTAAACTGTAACTGCCTTGAACTACGTCGCCGTTACGAGTCTCTTCTTGGGCTTTGTTGTCACCTTGAACGTTTGCGACACGAGTTCATTCGCTATTCTATACTTATTATCGATAGACACATTCGAATGGCAAAGTCACTACCGAAAACTAAGGAACAATACCTGTTAAGCCATCGGCTACGCTGTAACTGAAACTATACTGTGGATGCGGATCGTAATTTTCAGTTCTAACGACGGTGGCCGCGGCTGGCGTCGGAATTGCTGCTGTCACCGTAGCTGCTGCTGGGCTGATGATTCCCGCGCGGGCGACACTTAGGAGACCCACCAGACAACAGATAATCTGTACAGATTCAAACAAACGAATAACATCGATTGGTTAAATGGTTCTGCTTTTTCTTTTTACCGCCTTCTCTTTACTTTCGCAACAGACTGACAGATTACTAAATAAATGTGAAATTACTTTGAGATCCATGATGCTCGATGCTTGAATGACGATGCGGTGCGTCTTTAATAACTGCGTGTCTGCCTACCTTTCTGGTAGCGTGTATTTTATACCGGTTGGTCCAAGTTGACCCCACCCCCGTCTTTTCCATAATGATACATAGATACGCCCCACTGTTCCTACAACACACACTTGAGCGCACATTTACACCAGAATCGTTGTCGCAATGCAGAAATACATGAGTAGAACCACGGATAATTTCGGCGTATCGCATAGAAATGTTACAGAACGATGTTTGGTTGCTCCTCCTTAAGAAATTTAAGGAAAACTCGTCCAAGTCGTCAAGGTATCGTGAAATAATAATTGTTGTTAGAGGTGACATCGACAGTGCGATCCGCACACAGCCTCGAGTGTTTGGATTCGTGTAGCGTTTGCGAATATGTAACAACCTTTTCTTCGTCCCCTCGTGTACATACGTACATTCGGAAATACTACTGACTGGACCGACTTTTATTTTCAGAGTTCATTCATGTTCTGTTCTTACTGAACGAGCATAGACGAGTACCGTGAAATCTCACGTATGATACGCGTAAGTTGTCCTTATTCCAATATTACCGACAAATTTTCTTATTCGTGCACTTATTAAGTAAAGAAGGTGACGCACACGCATATTGAAATTCGTAGAAGCATGTATTTCGATAAATACGATAGAATTATCGAAATCATATGATATGAAAAACTATAGATGGATTACGATGAAAAATGTGATCGGATTAGCTTAGTCTCGGTGTGTCACAAGGTGACAAAACTACTCGGGAGGGAATATGATAGGTCGCGTTCAGTTTACAAAAGCAGGATTACGGGATAGCTAATATTAATGTAAGCTAATAATTGGTATCATTGCGCCATTCGGTAACGAAATCTAGGCGTTGCAGTAAGTGCGGTGATCGCAACGGAGATTTATCGTGTTATCGGTGTATTGTTCGTGTATTTCGTTCCATGTGTGGGTCGGGTAACTCTAGGAGCGCTTCAAGGAATCGTTCGGAACCGAGCGGCCGATTTGCGTAAGTTTATCGTGTCCACGACTACGATGCGATCGAATAGGTAGGTTGCATACGGTTGTGTACGTGAAATTGGACAAGGTTCCGAGTAAGCCATATTCTTTGGATCACCGGAGGTTATTCAAGGACGGTAAACTGCCCCTGCAATCAGGTTATACGAGAGAGTAGGGATTCCTTTCCAGGTATAAAGAGCATCGGTTCCTTCGACAGTTTGTATACACGTAGTTTGGACGTCGATACACGAGTATCGTACGGACGCCAGTTTTAATCTGCAAAAACTATTACAAATGCGTGCCCAATCGCACCGAACGTATCCTGATTGTTCTTTGAAACGTTTATAACGTTTGTCTGGAATGACCGCTATACACTCGATAAAATTACAATGCATTCGTGTCGCTCATTTCGCATCGGCCGGTATTCTGCATTATTTACAGAACGGAGGTATCTTGTAAACTAGCAAATCGTTATACGTACATGTGTCCAAGTGGTAGAATACCGGCAATATCCTGACATTTATGTGAAACAACCAACTTGTTACTCTTGACCATAAACGACGGATGAACAACGAACTCGAGTAGTTTTCAAGGAGTTTCGACGATCCTCGAAGCAGGGATCGCTTCCCGAAGTTGGCAATCGCGATCGCGACTGCGATCTCGATTACGACTGCGATTACAACAACCGCAAACGCGTGTTATCGTATGCGGAGGTAAAATTGCCAACAGCATGAGAATCGGTTGGATCATTCGTAAAAATTTCAACAGCCAAAGATCGGTAAACGCGGCGGCTAACGCGTTCGTAATCCACGGTGCATCCATCAATAGATAGAGCCTGAGGAAAAGAAAGTATCGTTTCCTGGCCTTACTCACTTTGAACGTCCCATTATACGTCGTACTATTCTCAGTCGCCAACTTTGTCGACTTTTGTATCATGCACATCCTGTACGACGTATAGCAAAAGAGGATAGTGTTCGCGAAGCAGGTTAAAATCGGAAAAGTAGTAACGTACAGTATCACGGACAAGTTTGGGCGTTGTTGAAATTTTTTGAAATTCGGTCTGATCGAAGACGATTCAGCCAATATCGGAGATAATTCTGCAATGCAAGCCAATGCCGTTGGCAGCAACGATCCTCCCAACGTCCAGCCGGCGTACGTGAAAAATTTCATTTTCTCTCGATGATGATGATTCGAATCGATCTGCGACGCCCAACGAAATCTCGTGATCGTCAACGTCATGTCGATACAAATGACGAAAAGCCAACATGTCGAGGATATCGTTAGAAACATTAGAGATAATCCTACGAACGTGTAAACATCCGGATGTAACGGCACGTGGCATAGAATGCAGGATCCCATACTAATGAGAATTCCATTCAAAAGAATTTGCGTAATATTATAACACATTACAGCTTTGTCGTACGCTCGCGCGCCCAAGCCCGGCACGAGGAAATAAACGATCACTACTATCGCGTACGGAACAATGTATATCGTATTTGCGAATACCACAATATTGGCACCCCAGAAGTTTAACGAAGTGAACACGCTATCGCAATGCCATCGACGCGTATCGTTTTTGTTTGTGTCGTTGTCCCGACGATAGTAATCGTCGTCCTCGTCGTCGTTCTCGTCGCCGCTACCCACATTGATTGCGATATCGTCGACGCTGATATTTCCTGTCCGCTTTCTTTCTTCCCAAACGCGAATTATTCCGTCATTTGAAAAGGTACACGACTCGAAACAAGAACGATTTTTACTCGGTTCTGCTGCAACGCTCGACGACTCTTGTTCGTGTCTCGATTGTTCCAATCCAACTTCCTCTTCGAATCCTCCTGAAATATATTGAACGATCATCGGTATTTTTGACCAAACTAAAGAATCAACAGTCATTCTGACTTCAACGTATCGTTCGAATGCAATCGATTGTTACAATACACATCGTTATTCCGTTGGATCAGTCGCAAGACGGAATGCGATTTACTATGGTGGGGAATACATTTTCCAGGTATCATCTTCGAGATTGTATTGCGCGAGATGCGAGGCGTATGGTAATATTAAAGAGAATAATAAGAAAATATTGAAGAAATTGTTTGATCTCGAAACTAGAGTAGTTGACGAGACGTTGAATTTTGCAGCCGTACATTGCAACTGCAATATTTGAAAGTTAGTCGCGAGTCGCAATAGGTATTCCTCTTGGTGAGTCACAGAGTAAATGAGACACAGTTGTATCGTGTGATACTCACTTTCGACGCAGATCATACAACATGGTGTTCCGAACAGGTTGTCGAACGTATCGTTCGATTTTGCCGACCATGTAACGTTTGAATCTCTGAATGAGTCGCACCGATATTCGGCTATGTCATGGGAATCACCAAAACAACAGTTTCGTACAAATTTTTCTCTCGAGTCTGTGTCGTTGTATGCGTACTGTACCGACAACCGGGTAAGATAAAGTAACATTATTGCAACACTTTTCGTAATCATGTATGCACCGTGGAATCTCCGATGCAATTCGATCCGTGCGGATCGTGTCATTGTTCACGAGAATAGAATTCTCGAATACCCTTTAAATTGAACTTTGAAAATTTCGAACATTTCTTGTGGATCGTTGCGACAAGAGCTGCTCTCGCATCGAAGACAATGCTGTTCGGCGGATACACTAACTGCAGTTCACGTGTTCCAGCTTATTTTCCTTTCTTTGAATTTTTCTCTTTGACAATCACGTCTCACTCTATGCTAAGGAAAACAAGCGGTCTTCTTCTTCTTCTTCTTCTTCTTCTTCTTATTCCCCCCACCTTCCAGCCGTAACCACTCGTTCTTGCGTCTCACGCATCTTTTCCCTGACGTTTCATTTACATTTTGATCATTGGTCTTTACCTACGAAGGAAAGTTGCGACCAATCGGTTCGCAGATTCCTTCGAAAATTGTGGTTAGATATGGAATAGAGATATCTTGTTCCTTTCTCGAGGAATCGAAACAGCAACATATTCAACCGTAAAGGTTCTCAGATAGATTTTCGGCGATACCGCCATGTTGTATCAACGCTACTCTCGTCGATACAATGTTACGGCAATTAACCAATGCCGGAAACAAAACAGAGCAATTTGTCAAATTTGTTGGTTACCAGTCAACATAACGCATACCTACGAGGTTAAATGAAGTGAAATGCTATAGTTGTAAAATCTCTGAAATTGAAAGTAAACATGGATCAGTTTCCAGAAGTGTACCATGCTTTTCATCCGAAAGATCCAGCTCGTGGTATGCGAAATTATGACCTCGGCGCCTTAACTACGTACCAAAAAGGAAAGTTAAATTTAAGAAAGACAGCCGTTAGATGTGAAAATGAAATTTATTTGGCCACACATCCAGAAGTCAAGGGTTTGATTTTGCTTGTATTGAAGCAAGTTGTCTTTGATTTTCTCTTCCTTTTATTCGCATTTTCTCGGAATACTACCTTAGTATCGTGCTGTGTGTATGTACCTGCTCATTCTCAACGTTGTTCAGGAGAACACAAAGAGGAGACGGAGGCCCCGGGGCGACACAGGCACAAGAAAGCTGCTTTTCTCTGCTTTTGTGTCGTGTTCATAGTTTCGATTGGTTGCGTGTAACCGTATTGACGAATAGCAAATAAATATCGGAAATGAGATGAGCGAAAATAAAGGTTGACCGATTAGACTCGCAGTCCTTTCTTCTCCCGAACAACGCAGGATACACTTTAGTATCGGTGGAATTGATATGGTTTTTGCATTCTCCATAATACCCACTCGACTCTAGGAGCCATCGATCGACAAATAAACATGCAAATGCTATTGTGTCGTAGGTATGTGCTACGGAGACGGCCCGTCCTAAACATTCATGAAACTATCGGTGCTTTTTTTAACAGACCACGTCACCAGATATTGTTGGATCTCCTCGATTATTTGTTACACACCGAGCACTCGACTGATATCGAGTACCGCGCGTTTTCACGCGTAATTAAAGCTTAATTAAACGGACGCTGAAAGACGTAAAACTTGAAATTTCGACAAGGTAGTGTAAATACCTGCGTGGCTCGGTTGGCTCGTTGTAAGAAGAAGCATTAATAAGAATACAGAAATGCAGAAAAATTTGTTTAATCGACTAATTCGTGTATCCGTTCGTACGATATGTAAGAATGCGTGTATCGAATTCTGAAAATGGGAAAAAAGATTTGACTATCATTATTAATTTGGCATTGAAACAGTTTTGTCGTTGAACTGTGCTTCTACCATAAATATACACGTTACCAAGCAATATATTTACTTCCGTCTAGTTTCCGGTTATTTTCGAAAGGAAGTTTACGATTGTTTGATCAGTGAATTAATTTCCGGTATCAAAGGGTGCAGGCGATTGCAGTTTTCCTTTATTCCTACTACTTGATCCGTGCTGTTATTACCGTTTCGTACGCATTGTCCAAACTGATTGCAACAACGGTTTCCATTTAACATAAATTTGATTTGACATACGTTAATGTATTGTAAAAGACTCGATAAGATTGTTAATGCACTGATTGATACTACATCCGAGTATCGAATATCTCCCCAGCCGTACGCGTCGATAAGATCTTGGCGCATTCTTAAAACGTGTATACATTTGACATGATGTGTAAATACGTAAGTGTACACTTTATTTGTATGACTGGAATATCTGTCAAATAGTTGTGTACTTTACTTTAATTACACGTCATCGGTTGAATTCTATGTATATCGTGCTCAATTGTCAAAATCTATTGTATACGAATAGCAGTACGTATCTAGGATGGAACGCCAACTTGTTATCGACGAATGAAAGAAATTTGATTTGTTCTATCCGCACGATGTATCGGAAACGACCGATCAGTTGTTGGAAAATTCGAACGAAATGACAACGAAAGCTCGTCGTTCGACAATTTCAATTTCAACTGACTATTTATAAACGCGGCTTGTACGTACCTATCTAGAAAAATGGGCGCAAAAGCACATGGATGTACAGGTATGATCTACAAGATCGACGGCTGAACGAGTAGCGATCTCTACCAGCTAGCTAGACGCGCCAAAAGGCGTCGAAGCATCCGTGGTTGTGTTTACAGATTTCGTCTACCTACAGTACTTTACGAAAAACGTTGAAATCAAAGAAAGCCAGTACAAAGTTCCGAATGTAGTTGCTTGCAAATTCAAAACAGGTGCTAGTCGTAACGCAAACTATGACGTAACTCGACATGTCAATTTATGCGAATGCAGTTGAATCAGTAATATCGTAAAGCATTATATCGATGCATTATAATAAAATTTTCTTTCAAGAAATCCACGACGATCGCGTGAAACTCGATACATACCATTACGTAGTTTGGTTTCGATTCGCTCTCGGTCCGATTCCGATTCAATCTGGTTCTATCTTTGTCCATCGAGAACAGCAGACAAAGAGACTCTTCAAGCAGTGGAACGCGGGACGAGGAACACGGAACGCGGAACTGGGAATGAGAAACGGGAAACGAGAAACGAGAAACGAGAAATGAGAAATGAGAAACGAGAAACGAGAAACGAGGAACGAGAAACGAGGAACGAGAAACGAGGAACGAGAAACGAGGAACGAG